TTAAGAGACAGAGTCTTGGTGAGTTGCTTAGGGCCTTGCTAAGTTGCTGAGGCTGGCTTTGAATTTGTGATCCTCCTGCCTCAGCCTCCCAAGCTGCTGGGGAATTACAGGCATGTACCACTATGCCCAGCTTGTTCTTTTTGATAACTTTTTTTATTTCATTAGTTTTCAAAAGCATGTAAATGTTTTATATATTAAAAAATAAATTTGAAAACTAATAAAAATATGCTATAAAGAGAAACAATGAACCTAAGTTATAGAACATACATAGAAAAAAATAAAATAACTTTGGTACACAGCACATTGCCTGTACATCCTTAGCGGGATATTCTTTAAGGACAAAAAGACGGTATCCTACAAAACCGTTAAACCTACTTAGTTTGTTGATAGGGTTAATGTTGACATTATTATTCTGAAACTAGTTTATAGACCAAGTTTTTTTAATATTTATTTTTTTAGCTGGACACAATACCTTTATTTTATTTATTTATTTTTATATGGTGCTGAGGATCGAACCCAGGGCCTCGAATGTGCTAGGTGAATGCTCTACTGCTGAGCCCCAGCACAGCTCCTGGACCAAGATCTTTAATTGTGAAAGAAAAGGTGCACTAGTATAAAGAAGAGCTATAATAATGGGTTTAAGTTACAAATATTAGTGTAAGTTGTGTGTTTTTAATAAGAAAATCCCTACTTTATTACTTACATGGCCTAGAGGTAATACCACCCCAGTAGTAGGATACCTAGTGCTCAAATACCTCCCCCAAAAGCCTTTAAATGAAGTATGAAGCCAGTTGGCTAGACCTGATTATGGGTTATATATTGATAACATGGAATTGTTCATTTTCTTAAGTGTGAAAATAGTACTTCTGAGTTTTGCAGAGCATGCTGAACTATGGAGGATGAAGTGCATTTGTGTTTGTAATTTTCAAGTTATTTGGAAAGTACATATATAAATAGTGTGAGCAGGGCATTAATGAGTCAGGGTGATCACTGGTTAATATGAGTAAGGGTATAATTTTCCAATAGATTTGAAAAGTTTCAAGATTAAAAGTTGGGGAGAAAATATTACTCATATTTCAGAACCCTAGATCAGATTTTTATCTCTTTTACGAAGACTTCCTTTATCAACTACACTAGCTATAAGTGATTTTCTAATAAGAATTTTTTTTTCTTTTTTGTTGTTGAGGATCTTTATATTTATTTACTTATCTATTTATTTATATGCAGTCCTGAGAATCAAACCCAGTACCCCACACATGCTAGGCAAGCGCTCTGCCATTGATCTACAGCCTCTTAAAATAAAATAATTTTAAGAATATAATTTTATTTTTTTTCTATTTTGGGGGCAGATGCTGGTATGTAGCTCAGTGGCATAGTGCTTGCATGAAATCCTGGGTTCGATTACTGGCACTGCCAGTAAAAAAGGGGGTTTGGGGGTTTTTGTTATTTTTGCAGTACTTGGGATTGAACCCAGATGTTCTACCACTGAGCTATATTTCTAGCCCTTTTTATTTTTTTTTTTACTTTGAAACAGGGTCTCACTAAGTTATCCAAGCTGGCTTTGATTTTGCCATCTTCCTGCCTCAGCCTTCAAAGTAGTGGGATTACAAGTGTGTGCCACTCTGCTTGGCTAAAACAAATTGCTAAGGCAGTTCTTGTACACAATGTGGATCTGGAAACTATTTTTACACTATAAAAAAAAAAAAGTCTGACTAAAACATCCACCTGCAGGGGGTATACATCCTTGCTGTTATGTTTAAACTGGCCACTCAGGTGTGTATTGAAGAATTCATTTGTCAATCAATTTACGTCTTAGGTCTCATACGTCAAGGGATTTTTTTGTTCTGTTATTCTGGGATTATAGAGGAGTTAGAGATTATAAGGAATTTTTGGAAATGCTGGAATAGGTGATTTTTTTTTTTTTTTTTTTGTACCAGGGATAGACTTTTGTGGTACTTAACCAGGCTACATCCCCAGCCTTTTCTATTTTTATTTTGAGACAGGGTCTCACTAAGTTGCTTAAAGCCTCACTAAATTGTGAGGCTGATTTTTGAATTTGTGATCCTCTTGCCTCAGCCTCTTCAGCCGCTGGAATTACAGGTGTGCACCACCACACCAGCCAGGTGATTTCTTAAAAGATGTGCAATTAAACATTAATCCTGATGGGTTTCTTGAAAAAAGGAGTGCTGAGACCATATCCATTTGGGAAAACTTTGCAAACTAGACCTTCTCTTGGAGTTTATGGTATGATCTGATCTTGTTCATTGAAGCATTGTTTCTAGTAGTTAGAAACAATTTAAATGTTCATAGTAAAGTAGAATCATAGAATATTACATAGCAGTTAAAAAGGTAGGAGCTAGATCTCCATTTTCTAATGTGTTTCTCAGAATGAGAATGATGCAGAATAGTACTATATGGTTTGTGGTTGGTTTTTTTTAATAACTATATCTGTGTAGTAAAATGCATTCTTATGAAGCCTGAAAGGATTCCTACCAAGTAAGTAGTGACATTTATTTAGAGAATTAACTGGATTTGGGAATGATGATCAAAGAGTTATTTTATCTTATTAGGGCTGAATTTTCTTAGAAGGGAATATATTTAAGTATTATTTATAATGAAAATTCAATGCAAATGGCTTTTACATGCCTAGAAGTTTACTTTCTTTTCCTTTATTGGATATACTTTCTCTGCTAAATTACAGCTGTTTATTGACTGGCTATATACAGATTAAACTGAGTTCTGAGCCCTGATACTATAAATTAGTAAAGAAATGTTTTCACTGTATTCCATTATGACAAAATTATTTTTTCTACAGCCAGATGCAGTGGCACATGCCTATAATTCCAGTGACCTGGGAAGCTGAGGCAGGAGGATTGCAGGTTTGAGGCCAGCCTCAGCAACTTCGTGAGGCCCTATCTCAAAATAAAGAATAAAAAGGGCTAGGGATGTAGCTTAGTGGTAAAGTGCTCCTGGATTCAATCCAAAAAACACAACACAAAACCTATTATTTTCCTTACATTGTAAGATTATATGAAGTAATTTAATCTTTGAGATGATCTTATTTTCAAATTGTTTGGTTCATTTTTTAAATATTTTATTTAGTTGTTGAAAGGCCTTTATTTATTTATACGTGGTGCTGAGAATTGAACCCAGTGCCTTACACATGCCAGGCAAGTGCACTACCACTGAGCCGCAGCCCAACCCCTCGTGAAGTAATTTATATAGTCTGGTTCATGCAAGTCCTCAATAAATAGGCTTAGCTAAAGCTTATTGGAGTGGTTCAAGAGATCTTTTGGAGAGCAACAAAGAGAAAGTTGAACTTGGTTCTTGAAGAGCTAATGAAGATTGGAGGGGCAGCAGCCATAGGTTCAAAGCTGCTTAAGTGTCAAGCAGCAGACCCACTTTGTGTTGGCACTGTTCTTTAAAAGTTCATGGGCTTCCTCTTCCTCCCTTTTTCTTTTGCAGTGCTGGCGATGGAACCCAGGGCCTCACTTATGCTAGAGAAGCGCTTCACCACTGAGCTATCTCCCCAGCCCTGCTTTTTTACAGTGTTCTCTAGACCTGATTTTGACATCTTCCAAGTCAAACTTGAGGGCATTGATGATTCTATTTGACTTTAGCAATCAATTTTAAGTGGCCACCATTTTTGTAATGTAAATGTGTGCTTTTTTTTTTTTAAAGAATAATTCTGAAAAAGCTGTAGCCGCATATTGATGTTTTTTTTTTATCAGTGCATTTACTTTATTCCTTCAATTTGCTATAAAAGAGCCATTGTCTGAGAATGAAGAATACCTCAAATGAAAATAACTCTTCTTTAAAATGACTTATTTTTCAGGCACATACATTGATTCATCTATTCAAGGTGGTCATTTATATTTCATCCAAGTTAAAACAGGAACTTAACTGATCAACTTTATGCTCAAATTATTTTAATACAGATTATGAAGGGATTCAAAATTTAATTTAAATTACAGGTGTTTATTGGCACCTTCTACATGCTTGGTCTGTCTGGAAATTCAGAGTATTAAAACATGATACTGTCCTTGGTGGGCTTCCTCCTTCCTGAAATATTAAGTATGTGATCCATGAGCATACGAATTGCTCGATATTTTTAAATGATTCTCCCACCAGAAAATCAAGTGGAAATAGTGTCGTATCAGGTGTGAAAGTGCTGAGTAGAGTGAACTGCAGGGATATGTTCAGTAGTTGGGCAGCCACGGCACATGGAAGTGTTGCAGGGTGCAGTTAACCAGCAGAGGCCTGACGCCCAGGTGTGGCTCCTGTGCTCCTTTCTCCACCTGATTAGTGAGGGTCTTGCACATGACCGTCACTCAGTATGTGTTGTTCATTGGAATTGTAGGCTGCAGGGGGAGAAGTGGCATGGTTAGCTTTATAGCCAGTGATTTTGAGATGGCATTTGGGTTGAGCATAATGAAAAGGAGAATTTGAGTACTGCAAATCAAAATTCACTTTTTGTTTGTTTGCTTGCTTGTTTAGCTCCGGTGAGTTTTCATTCCAGCTTTTCTACCTCATTATGGTTGTGATTGTTAATTTCCTTGTTATGGTTTGTAATTGTAATTTTCCTTGTCACAAGAGTATATGTGTCATTTTTTTAAAACAGGTTTTCTTTAAACAATTTTTCTTTAAACAATCCCTCCACCCTTTGTGTTTGTGGTATAAGCAATACCAAATTACTATTGTACTATTTAATATGCAGAATTGATCATGTGTATACCAAAATTAGTTGATTCGATGTGCATTTATGGATAAAGCTTAAAATTATCCCCTGTTAACAAGTTTATCATTGCTTTTAGTGATTTGGTAAAAAACAGCAAATCATTTAAATCAGTTTGATTCCTTGTAACATAAAATCACAAACATTGTTTAGATGCCCCTGTCTCCTAAGAACAAGAATTGGAGCTGTCTATCCTTTAGTTTGGCTTTCACACCTTGGAAGCCTGTTTTGTGAGTTCTAAATCATGCTTATTCTTGTCTTCTAGGATTCCTCTCTGATTAAGCAGACAGTTGAGGATACAGGGTCTGAGAATGAATGTTCATCGTGGTAGTGACGGCGACAGGTTGTTGCGGCCAGAGGCCAGCTGCCTAGTGGATGAAACCTCAGATGCAGCTCAGGAAAAAGAAACAAATAGCCTGGCTTCACCTGGTCTTCACAATCTTACTTATCCCCTAGGTCCCAGGAATGAAGGTACAGTGATTAGTTCTTGGCTTAATTTGTGGGATGGGGGAGTTTTCTGACCCTTGAGCATCTTATTCTGCCAAGAAGGCCTGAATATCCTTATATAAATGTTCTCCACTTAATCGACTTAGCTTGCCTATTATAATTCTATCATGCTGTCACAGAAAATGTCCACTTATTTAATTAGTCTAGCACATCTAACTTGAAGATAATGGTGTAAGTCAAACAGCCGCAAATTTGGAGTCAGAAGACAGATTGAAATTCTAGCTCAGCAGTGCATTAGCTATGACCATGGATGAGAGAATTAATCTCTATGGTTCCTGCTTTCTTAATCTAGAACACAAGGATATTAATATGCCTCCTTCCTCATAAGTCTGGTGGATTAATGTTAATGATGTGAAAGCTCTTGATAACCTGTTAGGTTCTTTACTTTTATTTTTTTAACACATTTTTAAAATAATCTTAATTTTTTAAAAAGTAATATGTGCATTATAGGAAGTAGAATAGCACAAGAATCCAAGCAAAATCATTCACAATCACAAGAGTCCAGTTAGAGGTGTCCTCCTAGGTCCTGCTTGTGTGTGTGTGTGTGTGTGTGTGTGTGTGTGTGTATGAAACATCTCATTTTATATGATTGAGATCATGGTGTATATTGTGCTTTTTCACACATTGTAAATATTTACCAATTCAAAATTTCAAAAGTATATGAGCATTTTGATAACCAAGGATATACTACACAAATTTGATTTAGAAAAAAAAATCTAATCTTGACTTTCTTGGCAACAAAAATTTTATAAAAGACAAAAATGGCAACAGGTTTCTGTGTAAAAGTATTAGTAGAATTATGATTAAAATGCTGCATTCCCTTAATGCTCAGTATAAAATGAGACAAGGCAACAGAGCACCTTAGGTATAATATTTCTAAGATAATTTATTATCAATTCTCTACTGTTAAAATATTAGCAAGAAGGTTTGTTTTCATTGAACTACTTAATGTGTTCCTGTAGTACAGCAAAAGGACGCTCGTGTGTCAGTGACTATCGTCAGATAGTAGTGGGAACACATCTGCAGGTGTCTCTTCCTTTAAGCTTTCTTCCTTCCCTCTGTTGCCATCCTAATGATCAAGTTCTGATATATATTATTCAAAGGTGGTTTAACAATTCCATGCCCAAGATGCATCTTTTTTTTATCACTTATAACAAAAAGATATTCACACATTTACTAGCTGTACTTTTTAAGCAAACTTTTTCAAAAATACATTTTCAGTTGTAGATGGACACAATATCTTTATTTATCTTTATGTGGTGCTGAGGATCAAACCCAGTGCCTTACACATGATAGGCGAGTGCTCTACTACTGAACCAAAACCCCAGCCACTTAAGCATACTTTTTAAAATTGCAATAAAATTAACAATAATAGCAACTGCCATTTATGGAGCACACACTGTACTAGGAATTGTACATACAGTACATTCTTTAGATCAGGGGTCGCAAACTGGTTAAATCTGGCTGCTGCTTGTTTTTGTAAATAAAATTTTGATACACAGCCTCAAGTCCATTTGTTTACATCACATCCTGCTTCAGTGGCAGAGACTTTGCTCTGCACAACCCAGAATACTTCTGTACTTTATAGAAAGTTTGCCCACACTTTTTCTAGATTAATCTTTACAATTATTATCCTTGTTTTGCAAATGAGAAAACAGCCTTAGAAAGCTTAGCTAACTTTCCCAGGTTCACACTGCTAGGAGGCAGGGAACTGGGATTTGATTCTCTTTCTGACCAGATTCTGCTACATGTGTCAGCTGACAGAACAGTGTGTGACTGCACCCTGCAGAAGGCCATTAGGGGAATTTGTGTAAGGAGTCTTTTCCTACCCTCCCATTTAAGTAGGGCAGAAGTTGAGGCTTCTTCCTTGGGTTCAGGAATCAACACAATTTAATTGCTTCATTGTTGTGAAATCATGCATTCTAAAGAACTGAATTAGCAATTCAGGTATCCATTTCTTTTTTTTTTTTTTCAATTTTTAATATTTTTTAGTTGTTAGTGGACCTTTATTTTATTTAGGTATATGCGGCGCTGAGAATCAAACCCAGTGCTTCACACACGTTCCCAGTACTGCCAACATACACGCACACACACACACACACACACACACACACACACA